TTCTCCTGTATGAAAACCCAAGAGCTCTCCTGTGCTACAAGAGGTTGAATTAATGTAACTTTCATAACTGATATTTTACCTCTGTTCTTGCATTCCACATGTGTAGAAAGAAATATGTCTAAGGGTTTTAAATATAAAGACATTCATGAACTATTTATATATCACATTTTGTCTTCTGAGTCAGATCTACCTTGGTAGTATATCAAATTATATAACCCTCATTGCCAGTTGAAATGGGGTCTCATTCTCACAGCAATCTCATATTTAAAAACTCTTGGTGAAGAGAGGTACTTTCAGTGGTAGAGTCATAGCCCTAAAAAGTGTATTCTATCAATTATATTGTGTCAATGAATGCTGACATGCTGTGTAGAAACAACAAGCTCTGGTAGTCTCAAGTGAATAGAGAGGAGAGAGAAAGTGGAGTGGAGAGATTAGTGGGGCTAAAGGCATTGGGGAATTTAAAATTTAAATTCTTTATCTGAAATTTGGCTTTCAACTAATATTATTTTCCTCATTTCCATGAACAGGTTAGAAACAAAGAGAGAAGGAGGAGTGGGAGAGAAAAGGGAACACCATAAAACATGCTGATCCTATTGATTTCATCACAGAGATGGTGTCCAAAAACTCAGTTTTTACACCACGGACGTCATTGAGGGTGGGTGGGTAATATTGCCAAAGTAAATACTAGTAGAACTTTCCATGGTCTCCATAATGATATTTACTTACTTATTAAAGCAATGATGAAGAAATGATGGAGTTTATTTTACTAATTCCGTTATCAAATAACTATGAGTGAGAATAGGTTACATAACAGTATAGAGAATCGTAGACGTTAAGAAGATCCCTGGATTGTGATGCTTATTGCCAACAGCACTGTGTTCATGCCCTCTATACTGACATTCATTGGAATCCCTGGTCTGGAACCTGTTCAGTGTTGGATTGGGATTCCATTCTGTGCTATGTACATCATTGCTTTGATTGGAAATACTCTACTTCTGATCATCATCAAAGCTGAAAGAAGCCTCCACGAGCCCATGTACATCTTCCTGGCCATGCTAGGAGCCACAGACATTGCACTTAGCACCAGCATTGTGCCTAAGATGCTTGGGATTTTTTGGTTTCACTTGCCAGAGATCTATTTTGATGCTTGTCTCTTTCAGATGTGGCTCATCCACACATTCCAGGGTATTGAATCAGGAGTCTTGCTGGCTATGGCTCTGGACCGCTATATAGCCATCTGCCATCCCCTTAGGCATTCTACCATATTCAATAGTCAAGTCATCACTCATATAGGAATTGGGATGACATTGAGGCCTGCCATTCTAGTAATCCCATGCCTTCTGCTCATAAAGTGTCGTCTGAAAATATACCGAAGCAAGTTAATATCACACACTTACTGTGAACACATGGCTGTTGTGAAGCTTGCTACTGAAGATGTTTACATCAATAAGTTCTATGGCCTCTTTGGGGCTTTCATTGTTGGTGGGTTTGACTTCATTTCAATCACCCTCTCCTATATCCAAATATTTATCACAGTTTCCCACCTGCCCCAAAAAAAGGCTCGTCTTAAGGCATTTAATACATGTATTCCCCACATATGTGTCTTCTTCCAGTTCTATCTCCTTGCTTTTTTCTCCTTTTTCACTCACAGATCTGGATCTCATATCCCATCATCTATACATATCACTTTGTCCATTCTGTATCTACTACTTCCACCTTTTCTAAACCCCTTTGTCTATGGTGTGAAGACCAAGCAGATTCGAGATCAGGTAGTAAAAATATTCTATTCCAAAGACAAAGGTTGACATTTGTTTGAAATTTTTCTTCTGTGGGCTTAATGGCTCATTTAATGGTTCTTTGAGATCAAGATTTCCCATCAATATTGGAGAATATACCCATTATCCTAACATATTTATAAACATATAAATAATTCTAAAGAATTCTAGAGGTTATTGACTTCTGAGAGAAATTTGAGGAAAATTCTGCCATTTGGTCAATTCTATTAATGTGAATGCAAGTGTAAGACTTATTTTGCTAATATTTTTTCAAAGTTATTTCAATCCTATTCTTGAGTTATCATACAGCAATCTTCGATTTAATATTTAGAAGTCTGAGAAGACTGAGCTCAAATTTTATAGACTGGTATACTCACTGTTGGTTTCCCACCTTTTTTTTTTTAATTTAAAGAAAAATTAATATTATTTGGCATTAAGGCACTTATGTACTAATGTACTAATACTCAATAGAAAACATTCATTTTGCAAGGCTCTCATAACCAAGGGCACATATTCCATTATTGTCAAATGTATTTCATAGGAAAAGCAGATTTAAATATGTTGTAGAAAATTTTTGAGATTGTATTTGATCTCATGAGTTGAGAAAAGACTCATGGGCCCTGAAGTCAGACAGAGCTATTTTCAAAGCTATGTTAGCACTTCTGTAGGCTGTGCC